GCAGGCCTTGCATGTGGAAGGCGATGGGGTTTATTTCCTTTAACGTTCTGTAAAGTGGAGTGGAAGGAAACAGGTCCCAGCTGTCAGATACTCATCTCCTGGCGAGGTTTCCAGTCTGAGTCTCTGGTTGTTTACAAAAGCTCCTCACTACCTGCTCACAGATCCGCGCCCGGGCAGTGGTATTACAGAGAAGAAATTATTTTGCAAATCCGGTTCTCAGACATAAAAAGGTGTTTTAAAAGCCTCCTGCTGCACATTTTGAAAAATTGTTAATAGGAAATAGGAGCATTCAAATGTATTTAATCTCTCTTAAATATTTAAGACTGTGATACTCACATGTTGGGTTTTTTGTTTTTTTTCTGCTTCCTTTTTAAGAGAAAGGTGATGCTGAGCCCGAGAGTCCAGACAATGGCACCTCGAATACATCGTAAGTCTCTTTTCTCTTTCTGTTCGTGATGGCGGTTCTTTAATGTGCCTGTAATACGAAACAGTGCAAGTGTCGCGTAGCAGTAATAATAATAATGGGAGGAGGGCCAGTTCTCCTTTTCCTGATAATGTCTTTTTAAATGCTCTGAGTGCACTCGCATTGGGAGGTCTTTCTTGTGCTTTAGCACAGAAAGAGTAATATCGGAGACACAAGTGCTCTTCTTCGGAAAGTCCAGGTGTAATGAGATGGGAGGGCACATACTGGTGAGAATGTGTTTGAGACTTTCATCGTCACTATTGTACATAATGTAGAACTTGGCTCACGTGCGGGAGGCATTGTCCCGCACACCTGGGAGGGACCGATGTCATTCAAAACGCCTGCCATCTGCACCCTCCCCTGGGAACTGGGTGAAAAATACAGATATCTCAGGAATCTCACGAGTTTGCTGATGTTTTTGAAATAACAAAAGCATTTTTTAAAAGAGAAGAAAAGGCCCTTAGAAAGCACACATTCCTCACTTTGCATGTTGCTGTTTTCTTCTCGGTGCTCAAGGAATCTAAAAGTGTGAATGATTCAGTTGATACCAAATTTATACACCAAAGTTTAAATGAAATAATTCGGGAGCTAACGAATTATTTTAGGAATCACATTTGCTCTTTGAAAATCTTTAACCCTGAGGGGGAACACGGTTTCCTTATTCCTATATGGTTTGTGAATTCATCTTTATGTGGGTCAGCACTCTTACTACTAAGCATTTAAAATACTACTCGCCGAAACTGGTTTGGCTCAGTGGATAGAGCGTCGGCCTGCGGACTGAAAGGTCCCAGGTTCGATTCCGGTCAAGGGCATGTACATGGGTTGCGGGCACATCCCCAGTGGGGGATGTGCAGGAGGCGGCTGATCGATGTTTCTCTCTCATCGATGTTTCTGACTCTCTATCTCTCTCCCTTCCTCTCTGTAAAAAATCAATAAAATATATTTAAAATAAAATAAAATACTACTCAGTAGAAATCACAGTTTGTGATATAATATTATTGAGTGTCTTAGTTTGTCTAAGATCTGTTTCTCAGTCTAGAAAAATCCTTCAGCTTCCCTTATGCACAGGATGGCTACATATCTCTTAAAGGATGTGATTATATGTTGTGTTCCTGAAGATGTTACACTAAAAGTTCTAAACAGTTCCATTGCTATGATTTCTGATGATATATAGTACATTGATTAGTTTTAAATGGTTAAAATATCACTAGCTTTAAAATTTTTATGCTGCAAAATATAATGGGAAAAGGGTTTTAATGCCATCTGGAGGCATTCTAGAGAACTGAAAAGGGTAGAATCATTTAAAAATTTGGTTCTTTTAAATAACATTTGAGACTGGATGCAAATTTATACAACTAGAACCTAAGCTATTTGGGAGTAAGTTGTATTTTTATAAATAACTTTATAAAAGTGGTAATTATTGCAGAGACAATAACTTTTTAAATTTCTCATTTAAAAAATATCACTTAAAAAACAAAATATATTGCAAAACTGCTAACATCCTGCATTTAATTGTACAAATTTTAAATCTCATTCAGTAGACACCAATTTTGTTAATGCAGTTTGATGTACTGTGAAAGTTCTTCTTCCCTTATGCATTTCTAAAAAAATTCTATTCTCTAAGGGAGTTGGTTTCCACACCTCAGTTCCTTGGGAAATGTGTTGCCCGAGTTCTGTTAAATTCTGTTATCGCTGGCGATCTGAGGACGGGGAGCGCTGGGAGCATCACCCCACACTCCTTTCTCCTCAAGCAGAGCAGTTGCTTAGCCATCAGCCTCACCCGCCTCTTGAACTATAATAGCAGAACTAAGCTGAGGTTGGAAGGATCTCTGGTAAAAGTGGAGGATTCTGAACGTGGGCCCCTGGAGGAGCTCGCCACCCGGAGTTCTGTAGGAATTAGGCCAGAGGAGCAGCATGTATGATCGGAGAGCCAGGACTTGGCACGTTACAGTCCCTGTCGGTACCTTGTCTGGGCTTTATTTAGGTGGGCAGGGACAATACCCTTACTTAGTCTAGAACAAGCATGTCAAATTCGCAGCCTGCGGGCCGCATGTGACCCACAACGCGTATTTTTGTGGCCCCAGCCAATATAACGGTATGTAAGAAGCATATTAGTAAAATTTCATAACTTAATGTTTATAATATCCTGTTACATGTAATCCTATATAATAAAAGAGAAAGATGGTAATTGGCGTACGACCGCTACCCTTTTCATTGGCTAATCAGTGAGATATGCAAATTAGTCGACAGCCAAGATGGCGGCTAATTTGCATATGTCAGCCCCAAGCCTCAGACTGAGGCTTTAGGCTGGGGCCTGGGCGGAGCCATCCAGCAATCATTGATGGTGGCAGCTGCAGGGAACCAGGCAGAGCCAGCCAGCTATGCTTGATGGCGGCGGCGGCAGGGAGCTGGGGGTGGTCTGGGTGAG